ATTAGCTCTCTGGGAGGCCTTGCGAAGCAGATATAATCACCAAACAACGGTGATTCTTCCAAAAGCTCGCTATGAGTGGTCTCACCTGAGAATTCAGGATTTCAAATCAGTGGCGGAGTACAATTCTGCGTTGTTCAGAATTACCTCTCAGATGAAGCTCTGTGGGGATACCATTACTGATGAAATATTGCTGGAAAAGACTTACAGCACATTTCATGCCAATAACGTGCTCCTGCAGCAGCAGTATAGAGCGCGAGGCTACACTGAATACAACCAGCTGATATCTGTGCTCCTGGTAGCTGAACAGAACAATGAGCTCCTGATGAAAAACCATAATTCCCGACCTACTGGATCTGCAACCATTCCCAGAAGTAAATGACTCCTCGAAGTGCCACATCCTCTGGTGGAATTATCAAGGGAAGGAACCAATAAACGGTCGATGGAATAAGAAGGCAAGACCATGGTGTCAGTTTCACAACCAGGTTCAGAGGCATAATTCCTGGCCCGAGTTCAAAAAATGTGAATCGTCAAAAGGCAAAGCTACCAATGCCCAGGAACTCTGAAGGAGCCTGCCATAGGTGTGGTGGCAATGGGCATTGGGTGCGAACTTGTCGTACCCCAAACACATCTGTGGAGTTGTATCAAGCCTCCTCAAGAAAGAAGGTTCAAGCAATCCTCGACCAGGCTAACCAATGGATAACTCACCTGATCAGTTTTATTTATCAGGAATATTCGGTAACCCACCTAGATGTTTCAGACTTCATTACGGAAAGGGAATGAAGATATATTTTTCTGTTATCGTTTGTTTGTTAACTGAACTTCCAATTTTTTCACTTCAGAAAGGCATGGATAAAAACCCATTGGTTATTCTCAGTTATAAAACATAAGAAATGGCGGAGATATTGTCTGCAGACAGTGCAACACACATACAATACTTCGGTGATCGAAGTATTTCCTCAAGCTTATGCTTACAAAATAAGGGGTAAACAATATCAGGACCTCAATGTGATTGAAGGCTCAGGAAAAAGCCCAGATTATGTTACCAATGGAAAATATTATCCATACAAAATGCCATTGTATGATCTACTCGAATTTGTTGAGTTTTCAAAGACATACGTCTAAATGGATACCAAAAAATTGAAAACGAAATGTGCGTAAAATGTGGTTGCGTGTTTTTGCATTATGAGTTATATATGGATAGTGGGACAGTGGAATCTATATATACATCAAGTAACTGAAATCAGGTTTACACTTTGGCATGAACCAGAAGTTTCATCCAAAGGATCCACATGTGCGGTGGATCATTACCAACGTCATTCCAACTGGACATCCATTATTGAGCAGAGACATTGCTATCTCAAATGAAACCCTGCAAGGTGTGTTCTCAAGGAAGTTGGTATTAAGACCATCACACATAAAGGTTGATGCTGAATCCCATCATTTTCTAAAAGAATTCAAGGGGAATCTGTGGACCTATTCAACCATTCTTGATGGACCATTTCATTATTTTTGGGTTTTGGTTGATGCATCCACTAGATGGTCACATGTTTGTCTCTTGTCTACTCGGAATGTAGCTTTTTGCGACTCTCTTGCTCAGATAATAAGTTACGAGCACAATCCAGATTATCCATAAATCAATCGACTTGATAACGCTGGTGAATTTACGTCTCAAACTTTTGATGATTACTGCATGAATTGGCATTGAATGTCAACCCCTGTTCCTCATGTCATACTTAAAATAGCAGAAGCATTTGATCAAGCGGCTTCAGTTAATAGCCCGCACTCTGCAAAACCAAATTGCCAGTTCTGCAGGGGACATGACATTCACATGCTGCATCATTGGTTCGATTGAGACCTATAGCCCAACCACCAATACTATAAATAAACGTGTTGGACATCAGCCAAACATTTCACTTTTACGATTTTTGGTTGTGCTGTTTATGTGCTATTGCACCACGCACTAAATGCACTCAGCTAATGGGATCTATGTGTTTTGATTACCATCTATATTAGATATTTGGAACCCTTGACAGGGATATGTTTACAGCTCGTTTTGCTGAATTGTCATTTTATGAGACAGTCTTCCATCGTTAGGGGGAGAAAAAGAAACCGTTCCAAAAGAACGGAAAGAGAACTGACATGGGTTTTCCACCTTGTTCATTTTGAATTCCTCGAACCCTTCAATGTGAAAAAGAAGTGAAAAATGATCGTTCATCTTCAAAGCATTGCCAATCAATGCCAGTGCATTTAATGACGCTATGAAGTGACAAAATCGCATATACCAGCTGCAAATGCACCTGCCAGAATGATGTCCCTCAAAATAAAGTGGCAGCGAATGATCATTTGGTGCACGCCTGAAGCGTGAAGAACCCAGGTTCAAAAGAGATTCAGCCCCTCGGAAGAGAAAGCGAGGGCACAATTGAATCCAAATGAAATCATTCAGGAAAGAGAGTCAATGAAAATCCACAATTCATGCCTCTGGACTTCAGAAAAGAAAATGGTCTGAAGGCAGAAGTACATGAAAGCAAAGAAATCTCTCCATAAATTATGCATGTATAATGAATTGTGTGGGATCAGAAAAATCATTGACGATATGTTTGCATTCGCAAGTAGCCACTGAAATCATATTAAGTGATGATATTGAGCTTGTTGATGAATGCAACAGAGACAAGATTGGCCTAGTGAAGATGCAATCCAGCAAATTAAAATCCTTGAAAGCGAAGTGTTTTTGGACAGTAGTAAACCCCAACCCACTAATTTAAACCCCGAACAAACATGGATACAAAGCACGCTACTCGTGCACAAGGCTTTCACAAAGACCTGGAATTGATTATAGGAGACATACTCTCCTGTAATGGACACAATTACGTTCCGTTACTTAAATAAGTTTGGTGATTTCAGAAAAACTTGACATGCAACTTATGGATGTCATCACCCGTATCTATATGGAGATTTATACTGAACATATGTATGAAAGTCAGGGGACTTAAGTTGCCTGAAGCAACAACAAACCACGGGTTCTCTCATCAAATAAGGCGATCACTATATGGGCTGAAACAATCTGGGCGATGTGGCATATAAATCGTCTATAGTGAGTATTTATATTAGCATAAAGATGATATCAAACTTCACGGACCCTGAATTAATAAATCACAAACTCTGGATTGCCTTGGCGAATTAACTAGGTTGATGATATGAACTTAGTTTTTGGTCCACAATCAGCTTACATTGAAATAGCGATTTGGCATTGGACAAAGGCTTATCCACTGTAGCACCCCAATGGTTGTTCGTTTTTTTAAGGTACATTCCGTTAACATGAAAAAATCTGGTGCATTGAGCATCAGCTTTTTCCACTTAGCTCCAATGGTGTGTTCTTTAGAGTTAAGAAGATCCATCTTCTAAATCAGACAAGCTTGTCAGAATAAATATATTGAGCGTAATAAGGTGCTACAAATTTAGCACAATGTACAGACCAAATATAGCATGTTTTCAGTTTAACTTCGTTAAATGGTACAACCTCCAACAACTTCGTCATTGAAGGAGCAAAAGTTCTACGATTACTGCAGCGTGTCGACTATGGGTATTTTCTGCTCAGACATAGCCCACAAGTGCACAAAAGCTTGAAGGCTAAAGTATTGTTTTCTTCTTCCTATAATTGCAAAAATGCTAATTTCAATGGAGCGCAATCAACGAAGCAAACGCTAGTTGCCATCAATCATTCGGAAAATTTCTACATAAGCATCGTGATGTTCTTGGTTAAGATCAATGATCCATCACATCCGAATTCATTGTTGGTCTACCCATCAAAACAGCCATCCCAACTGTATCCAGAGATAATGCAGATGTGTCCCACAATGAAGGAAGAATTTCAAAGTGTAAGACTAACACATATCTCAACAAGATTTTCAGACACATGAGCTTCAGAAGGCAAAGTTATTATTTAGCAAGGATCACCTAATGAAACAAGCACTATGGGCACAACTACCAAAGTGCATATCTTCAGGACACTGCTGCAGGAATCGGAGTTACGTCGGCTAATTTAAAGAATGCAAGAACAGGGGGAGATTCCCGATTCAGGGGAGCATGGCAACGCTCCCGTTGTGTACGCTTCGCTTGCCTGTTCACCTCGGGCTTACCAAACAACACGGAGCATGTCACGCGCAACAAGTATGTTCAATTCACTGCAACCCCCTGCAAAAGGCTCCCCAATGAGCTGCTCATAATACTTAATTGGTTTGTGGTGATGTCATAAATAGAGCTTTAAATGTTCAACTAACAGAAAAGAAAGAGAAAAATAATTGTAAAGAAGTTGCTGGAGCAACTCGTTTGGCGTACAAAATATTATAATTGACCATAACATTATTTTATAATATTATAAGTACGATCACCACAACTATGATTTATTTAACACGATCGTCGAGAAAGTATAACGAAAGCCTAAAGGCCGCAAAGCAGAACCGAGGGAGGAATGGAAAGCGATGTCTATTTGTGACATCCACGGCCAGCTAGGTTTTTGTTGGTCAATTCTAGTTATGAAACATAATGGAAGGGATCTCAAAATGCAGAGGAGATGACATCTTGACATAAAATCGTGTTAAAAGTGTTTGTGATATCGATGTCCCTTGTGGAGGAGAATATTGGTATAAGTGGGTAAAATGAGTCAATTGAAGCAAATCATTATTATAATTGACCATATATTTTTAGTACGATGATGATTTTTAAACAGATAGAAGAGTATAAAAAGAAAAAGAAGCAGAACCTTTATGGAAAGCGATGTGATTTGTGACATACCTGCAGCTAGGTCTGTGTGGTCAATTCTAGTTATGAACATTGGTAAACAAAATATGACATACTAATGATAAAATCGTGTTAAAAGTGTTATGATATCGATGTAAACTTGTGGTGGAGAATCATGTATAAGTGGGTAAAATGATCGTCAATTTCAAGCAAATCATTATTAAATGAGTAGAATAGAAGGTGAAAAAGATTGAAAAGTTGTATTCAAAATGGATAAAAAAAAATGGGAGTAAAGTGGAAGAAGATATGCAATGTAGTACTATGGTGATTTTTGTTGTAATAATGGGGATAAAGAATGTTGAAAGATGGATCAGATAGAACTTAATTGGTGTAGATAAACAATCATCATTTCCATCTTTCCTCTTCAGAGGAATTGACTGTTACAAATTTATACACAAAGACTTTCGTCATTCGTTGTGCTATGAATGCATGTCAAATTACTTGGTTAATCACAAAAGGGTTTAAGATGGACATTCAAAAGTATAAATGTAGATATTTTAAGTAACCATATATTGTCTCCACAGGATGTTCACCAATGCTTTGGATGTCCAGGTTAACTCATTAGTGGGGGAAAAGGTAAGTGGACATGCGTTCAAAGCAGATGAAATGAAGATAGTGCGTGCATACATTGGTAATAGGCAATTTCCCTGAAGAGAAACATTAGTGAAGGTAGAACTTAAACATAAAACATTAATGAAAAAAAGTAGAAATTTTTGAGTATTTTGAGATACCGTAAGTAGTTATACAGATGTGTCCACAGGAGAAACAGAGCAGATGATTGGCTGTCAAAACCTAATTTTCAGTAATAATGAGATTTATATTAATATGTTTTTTTAGTATAGACGATGTTTTCGTGCATATGTTTTTATGAAGTATTAGATAGATGGCAAATCATTTGTTAAGCTATTTTTTTCTTTTTTGTTTTAATTAGTTACCTTGAGGACAAAGCACCTTGAAAGCGAAGAACAAACAGGGCAAAATGCAGAATAACCAAGATTTTTGAAATCCTGTATTAAAAGAAAAAAGAACATTAACCATGATCAAACATAATTCGATTCAAGTAGACACTAAACTGACATAAACACTTTAAATGCAACAGATGCATAATTGATTTAAAAACATTTAGTAAATACTCAGTTATCTTGATCAGTCAACCATCACAAACCATGAAATTAACATCAAATGATCAAATTAGTGAATCTCAACAAAACAGTATACCTCACTAACCAAGCTTAATAATTTTCACACCATCTCTTTAGTTTCTCAATTACTTTGACACCACAGGCTCATTCATGACCAATGAACTCACATTTTAGACAAAGATAGATGACACCTCATTTGGTTTAATCCTTAACATCTAAGCAAGCTCAAATACAAATGTTTTGCTGAAATTAAATGAATCATAACTTTTTCTCTCATCATTTTTCTCCAAATTGTGACCCAAGCAATACAATGAAAAAACCCAAAGAAATGACTGTAAACATATAAATCACTCCATCAGTCAAAATTTACAACGATGTATAAAGGAAGCTGAATTAATCGTAGAAGTTTAAATCAGCTACCTTTATATACCCATTTATCAATTGAAGCAACAAAAGTTTTAAAAGTGAAATCATAATTTAAGCATTCTATATCACCGTGCACCATTTTTTTATCGGTTTCTTTTAAATTAAATCTAAATGAATCACAATGAAAAAAAATACCAAACAACATTTATTATCCCTCTCTCCAATTTAATCCATGAGGTGCAACGCCAAATCAAATAAGCAAAGAAAGTGAATACACCAAAGTGGTCACAGATATTTAATCAACAAAGCAAAGTTAGTAATAGTGTTAATTTATAAATGTCATGTACTCACATATAAATAACGATCCTGGTATTTGCAAATTGTGGATAAGTTGATGTGGAAGCAGAATTTGTAGTATTAGTTTTGAAAGCTGCAAGTCAACAACAATAACTCAGGATAATACTGTTGTTTTTGCTTTAATCCGTATGAATAAGACAGAACGGATCCATAGGCTTAACAAATTAAACACACATCTAAGACTCGAAAAGCTTATCAAATCAAACACAAAGAACGGATCCATATGCTTAACAAATCAACAAAACAAAAATAAATAAAAAATAAAAAATTCAAAGCATAACCATCACAGCAAGTCAAATAAAAAGAAGAAGCTATGGATTTAAATAAAACTGCCAACACAAAAATCACCAAGAAAATATGCATTACTAATTAACAACCCAAACACACAAAAAAGGTCCCAAATCACCAAAACAAAGCCAAAAATAAAAATAAAAAATTCAACTGCAAAGAAAACAAAGGAAAAAAAACAAATAATACATTTATATACCTTTAGTACAGAGAGTTCCAAGAATCAGAATAAAAAATCCAAAAATCTGAAAGGGGCTATTTGCTGAATCTGGAAAACAAAATGCATCAGACATGTTCAACAACGATCCAACCAAAAACAATATAAAGTAATAAACATGCAGAACTCACCTGGAAACGCCAGATTAAATCGGTCACAACCAAATTCCAAGCGAAGTCGACACGTTGGTGTTCTCGAGCCTTCCATGCTTTTTGATCCCTGTCTCACAAACGCTTTTCTTCCTTTGAATCCTCACGTTGGTACCAACGTTATTATACAGCTATTTTAATGACATTGAATAAAAAATGTAAACGTTTAGATATTGGTTAGTAAAATAAACAGTCTGCTTATAAATTTTGCAAAACATCTTGAAACACTGTTTGCAGTATAATTGTTTACATTATTGTCTCCATCTGGAATCAAAATTTTCAGACCTTTTTTTTATGTAACTCTGGATAATGCTACATATAATTGACCATGGATGAAAACAGGTTCAGGAAGATATAAACCAACTTGTTTCAAAGATTGGCCTTGACTTTTGTTGATAGTCATTGTATAACATGGTCTAACCGGAAATTGACGTCTTTTAAAAATGAAAGGCCACTTATTTTCTGTTGCTGTCAGAGTGATTCTCAGAATGAATACTTTGTGACCAATATTGTTTCCAGCAAGTATTTTAGCTTCAATAATTTGGTTGAATAATTGCGTAACCACTAATCTTGTTCCATTGCACAAACCCTAAGACTGATTTAAATTTCGTAACAACATAATTGGCATTCCTATTTTCAAAATTAGCTTACGTGTAGGTAAACCATTGAAATCAAGTTTATTAAAAAATTCAACAGGATATAATGTTTCTAAATTTTCATTATTTCCATTTGAAGAACACAAAGAATCATAGCTTAGAAACACGTTTTCTTCTTTAGGTAACAGATCAGTTATATAATTGTTTATATCTGTAACAGTTGTGTTTTGAGGTGTTATAATAACACGTTCTCTCAAGTAAGCAAAATCTTGATAAGAATGTTCAAAATTGGGTTAAGTTGCAAGAAAAATTGATAAAATTGGGTTGTCAGAAGAATTAACTATTAAATCTTTAGGTATTTCAATTAGACATGTATCTTTATCATTTGAATTATTTTCACCAATTTTTCCATCACCTATTTGTAAAATCCAATTTGCAAAATCATTGATTCTTCTCTTTTCATCAATGCTTAACCCATTTTTTGATAATCTCATGTTTTCTTTTAAATAAAATATTTTAAAATGTGACCACAAATAAGAACTATTTAAAGAAGCATTTATTATGTCCTCTTTGCTTCCTCCAAGTATAACAAGTAATATTTGTCAAAAATCACCACCTAAGAAAAGAGGTTTACCACCAAATAAAATATTACCTTGTGAATAATTTAAATGGGACATAATGTCATAAAGTGATTTATCTAATGCTTCAAAAAAATGTTTGTGATTCATTGGTGCTTCATCCCATATAATCAAATCTGTTTTTTCAATTAATGTGGCAAGATGAGTTTGCTTTTTTATTGCACAAATTGAAGAATCAGTAATAACCAAGGGAATTTTAAATCTGGAATGTGCTGTTCTACCAGCTGGTAATAACAATGAGGCTATCCCTAATGATGCCACAGCTAAAACAATTTTTTTCTCAGATCTAAGCTTACTTATGATAACATCCCATAAGAAAGTTTTTCTAGTGCCTCCATGACCATAAACAAAAAACAAACCACATTTTTTTTCTTTCCATAGCATCTATAACACAATCATATATAAGTTTTTGACCTTGATTAAGTTGTAATTTTAAATTTGCGTGTTTTTTTGACAACTCTTAAGAATCATAGTTTAATTCTTCTCTTAGAAGCTTATTTTTAATTTTTAACATTTTTCTTGCATCAGGCATTGGTAAATGATACTTAGCTAAAGAACTCAATGCATTGTTAAAAAGCAATTCCAATTCAAACAATACAGAATTTTTTAATTCATCTTGTGGTATGATCATATCAGGAATTGCAAAAGTTTTTTGCAAGCTGTACAAAATGTCATCATACATGTTTTGCCAATGAGTATCAAAAAGAGTTTGAGGATCTACCACATCACAATATAAAATGATTGTAACAAATAATTGTCTCAACTGAGGAGATAACGCTACATTTACAGCACTTGATAAAGCCTCAATCCATTCTTTATCATCTCCTAACAATCCCAATGATTGACATGCATCATGATATGAAGGATGTACAATACCATTAACAGTTTTGAGATCATTAAAGTTTAATGTACCTTTTTTCAAGTTCAAAAGCATTCGTAAATAATACAATTCACCAAATGTAGGATGCACATATGCTATTCTACCTATTGAACCTTTTTGTTTTCTAGGTTTCCACATTTTTTTTCCGTGTGTCATATAAGAATTTTGAAGGGAATTCTGCATAAGTGAGTGACCGCACTTCACTATATATTTTGTTAGTTTCAAACCAACTTGTTAACATTGTATGGTTAGAAGCGTTTTGTTTGATAATTGAATGGAGTGATTGATCACCACTGAAAATAATGTTTTGTTCTAATGGTAAATGCACTGGTAATCGCTCTATAGAAGGTTCCCTATGGTGTATAGAATATTGAAACAATCTCCAAACAGCTTCGTAAGACAATATGTATCTACAGTTTAGATATGTTAATATTTCATCATTCGGATCATGTTGGAGAGCCAATCGTGCTCTATCTGAACCTTTGTTTACATATTTGAATAAATATTTTATAAGCATGGATTGACAACAGGATTCAACATTTATATAAGCATTATATCTCAAAAGTAGTTCAGGATTATAAGGAACAACAAAACTGTTATCAATTTTTATTCCATTTTTTATAACAAACTTTGTATCATCATCCCGACGCCTATAAATTGGAAAACCATTTTGTTCAAAAATTGTTTCATTTTTATAAGGCTTAGGAAAGTTTTTGGAGCACTTATTTTCCCGCATGCAAGGATAATTTTTATATACATGCCCACATGGACCATGAATCATAAATTGATTAACAATCTCATAAAGTCGAGGGTTAACAAATTTGTCTGGCAATTCTGCACAAATAATTGAATCTATATCTGATGGCACATAGCATTTGAAATTTGATTTCAACCATATTAACATATGAGAATGAGGCAAACCTCTTTTTTGAAATTCAATTGTACAAACATCTGTTTGAAAAATCAATTGAGACAAACAAAACCCCAAAAACAAAAAGTTAGCTTCTTGAAGAGAAAAAAAAAAACAAATCGAGATAAGCAAAGTAATAAGTTTTTAGAACTCAGTTGCTTCAACTTGACCAAAAGGCTCTCCAGATTTGATGAAATCAAACATATCATCAAGTTTTATTTTAAATATTCTAGAAATTATATCAGGTCTGTCCTCAGGTTTGTAGCCTGGCTTTTTTTTTCAAATTCTCTTATAATTTCTGGTCATTTCACATTACAGGTAAATGTTATAAACAAATCAGGATGTTCATATTCTCTACAAATAGCCATAACATCTTGATAATTATTAATCATATATCTAGGACTTCCTGTGTATGATGCTGGTAAAACAATTTTTTGTCCCAAACTGTTTGCATCGTTGTCACCTCTTGACACAGCATCATAAATTCCTTTGTAAACCTCACTTCTTAAATTTTTTGATTTTGCCTTATGTAATCCAACTTATCTTCTTCAAGTGTTGCATAAGAATCTACTAAATATTGTTGAAAAAGTCTACCTTCTTTCAACAATGTAGTTAAGTATGCATCTCTTTCTTGAATCTGATAAGCTATATAAGTTCTCATAGGTATTCTTTGTCTTTTTGTTTTTGGACCGTTATAATTTTCATTCCATTTTAAATCCGGCCTGTAACTATCTTCACCATATGGAAAAAGAATAGGGTGCTGAAGAGCCATAAATTTTGAATTCAATTTTGTAACACGATTAGCTTCAAATTTATCTCTTACTGTTCGAAAAAGTTTAACCAAGTCATTGCATGAATCAAACATTTTAATTAAACCTTCTACAATTTTTGAATCAAGTCTTTCATTTGTTCCATCATTGTCAAAAGCTCTAAGACGATTTTGTACTTCATTATATGTATCATAAACATATAATTGAGCAAATTTTGAAGACTGATTATCAGGAGGTAAAAGAGATCCCATCAAATGACAAACTTGACCACTAATTTTGAAAATGTAAGAGCTTGTTCCATTATTAATTGAGTGATCAACTTTGGCTCCCATTGAAGTAAATGAAAACATAGAATTGTAAGCTCTAATATTTTCTCGAAATGATAAACATTTTTGTCCTCCATTTGGATCAAGCAAGGAATCTAAATAGGGTGGTGTTGGATTTGGAGTTGGAATCTTAATTTTTCCTTGTTGACAACAAAGAGTAAAAATGGGTTCATTTTTTTTTGAGCTTTTTTTAGAGACTCATTTAACCAAAAATAAGCACCGCAATACACACACTTATAACTCTTATCACCCAGATCTATATAATCCCTGACAACACCTACAAAAAAATATGTCCAAACCCGAAAATAATAGGACGTTAGCGTTATACGCCATTAACTAAACACTAAAAGTAAAAAGAAATTTAAAAAATTATTATAAGAAATTAGGAACATACCCCTTCTGTTGTTTTGAAAAAAGGCTTGCCCTTTACTCATAAGATTGTGATTACGATCACAAACTTTTTTCAACTACACTTCCAACATCGTTGGAGACTAAGAATTTTTTTTCCCTTTGTGTCACAACTGTCAAAGTTTTTTTCAAGCGTAGTCATATCCAATATGTTATCATTATCAGAATGTTCAACAACAGAATCATCAGCAAAAGATCTGCTTGTACTGCATTGATATTCACCCCGTGAATATTGACAAACTAACGCATCAGTTTGAAAAAGAGAGGTGTTTTCAGAATTTTGCATATAAGTGGTTGTATATAATTCATTATCAAAATGCTCAACAACAAAATCATCAGCAAGAGATCTGCTTGTACTACACTGATATTCACCTCGTGAATATTGACAAACCAACGCATCAGTTTCACAAAAAGATGTGTTTTCAGAATTTTGCATATAAGTGGTTCTACACAATTTTTTTGGTTGCTGGTTATGCTCAAGGAAAGGATTATATCCATTATTGCCAATGTTTTCTTTTTGTTGTAGACTATCGTTTATTCCAATATTTAAAGATCTTTTAGACATGATGCAAACAAATTTTTACAGCCAATTCAAAAACAAACTGCTGCAAAGCACAATTCGAACAAAAGAAAAAATTAATAAAGATATAACACATATACTAAAACTAGGGCTGGGCACGGGCCGGGCCGAGCCGGGCCGAACCTAAGTTTGTAGGAATCTGACATTACCCGAAACGGGCCGGGACGGGGCGGGGATTGGATTTTCTTGTATAGGAACCGGACATTACCCGGCCCAGTTAAAACGGGCCGGTTCGGGCCGGGTCCACGGGTACCCTCTTTTTTTTTTTTTAACTGCACTGCACAGTTTGAAAACTGCACAGATTGCAATTTGCAACTGCACAATCACAGTGACACTGCATTAGAAAGAAATAACAGTACGATTCATGTGCAAGGCATGAAGAGATAACAGCATGCCAATATAAAATTTCCTCAATTTTTTTTTATCAGCCAGGTTTCTCTCCAAAGCAACATCAGGTCCATGCTCTGATACATGAAGCATTGCTACCGTTGAACCATATCCAGATTCTAAATTCTTCAAAAGGCGATGAGTAATTTCCTCAGCTGAGATAACGAGTGGTGCACTAACTAATGATTCATAAAATATAGCAGAAGCTGTTTTTCCCAATTGTTGGCTGACATTAACAACACATCTAAGCATTTTAACGAGCACCTCTAATTGAAGAATTAAAACCCGCCTCCATGGTAACAAGATGGATGAGATCATCAGAAGTACCTATCAAATATGAATGTGAGAATTCCAAAATAAAAGGGACAAGCATTAAAAATAAGAAATAATTGGTCCTAAAACAAAAAAATGGAAAGGTTCAGCTAAAGCAACAATACCTTAGATACCATTAATAAGCCGCTCAATATTCTCCGAACAACGAAAAAGAGATACTGAGTTCTTTCTGATCAATCCAAAACTACCCCTGTAGGAATCCAAAAGCAACATAAATGAATCATACATAAATCATTTAGAAATGAATCATACAGAAATCATACATAAATCATTTAGAAATGAATCATACAGAAATCATACAGAATTCATTTTAAAAACAGAAATCATACAGAAATCATAAAGTCCACGGGTCACTTTACCACCATCTGCAGCCACACATACAGAAATCATAAAGTTCAGAGCTTTGCTGAATCTAAACTTAATTGAATAAAAACCCAGCAATATACAACATATAAATACATATATAGAATTTTAGATGTTAAATTTGGCAGTACCTGAAATGAAAGTTGGCGAAGAAGAAGAAGCAGGAAGACCCAGAAAACGGAAGAGGAAAACAATGGAAAAGCAGAAGCAGAAGCTTTGATTAAACACCATACTTTCTGGGTCTTCTCTGTCATCACTACCAACCTTTTCGCCCTCTACACTCTTCTTCCAGCTACAACGACTTCAAATCTATCCCCGGAAACGCCGTGTTCACCCAAACCCGCCTCGATTCTTCGTCGTGGGAGCCAAAGCGTTTCAAATCCTCATCCGGGTCTTCTCCCTCCGAAGTTCGAACTCCTCTTCAACCGTCACGCCGCCTCCTCTATTCCACAACCACAACAACCAATCTCCCTCCCCGCCACCGCCGAGTCATCATCAACCTGCCCAGCCCTCATTGTCGACTCGCAGGAAAATGGAGTCTGACTCGTCCACGGCCTCATGGCCTGAGCGGAAGCCGTCCAGCAGAACATCTTCAACCTCGCCAAAGCTCTGGTGATCCAGATCGGCTACCTGGCAGGTTCACAAGCAGGCGTCGGTGCTCAGGTAGGAGAGGAGAGAGATGGAGTTCGAGAAGACGATGGAGATTGGAGTGAGTGACTGAATCTGGAAGTGGAAACCTAGACACACGGGACATCGACTAGGGTAGGAATTAACGATTAAGATTAGATGATAGGGTATCATTTAATCTGGACCGTTCATTATTATTATAAACGGGTCGGTTCGGGGCCCTGTTTTTCCAAGGATTAGGACCCGCCCCGCCCCGTATTTGACAACGCCCCGGCCCGGCCCGGCCCGTTTTTTTTCTACAATATTTGGAACCGGCCCGTACCCGCCCCGAACCTACATTACCCGCCCCGACCCGCGGTTCCTCTACCCGTTTGCCCACCCCTAACTAAAACAACATAGGAATCTAAACAAAACCTCAAAACCAAAGTTTGATTTAAACAAACATAAACACAATACAATGGTTGACTTTGGTGAGAAAAAAGTATATAAAACTATATAATGAAACTTTGAATCAAAGTACATTAGAAGTTTAAATTACTTACTTGTAGCACAGAATGTCCTCAATGCCAAAAACAACACTTCAAGAGGTTATAAAAGAGAATTCCCTCAAGTTCTGTAAAAAGAAAAAAGAAAAAAACTACATACCATAAGTTCACAAAATTTTATCAGGCCTGATAAAGATAATTTTAAAGCTTAAAAATTTTACACCAATGATAAATTTGAAAAGCATAATAACCATAAAACCTTAATTTTGGACACATGCATTAGTCAGCCTAGAAAAAAAAGGACCAAAAAAGTACAATAATTTAAAAACAGCAACCAACATTTCACAGTAAGAAAAAAAGTGACACTAAAACAAAATAAAAAACTATTAAATTCCAGACTATAAACTTTATAACCAAAGAAATTAAATGGATTTAGTATTAAAATTGATAGCACAATTAAATTTCATTATACCACCACAGTAACCGTCACATAGCCAATCATAATTAAAAGAACGACAATTGTCAAATAAAAATTTTAAGCTATATAAAATCAAAAAATAAGAAAGCACGGAAGCAGGGAGCAATACTCGCCAAATTGATTTTTTTTGTTTAAAATGTAGACCCCAAACAAAGCCCCAAGTAAAAGACCCAGCCATTTTCTCTGCCTTCTCTCAACTACCCTTCTTCTTCCATTTCTCTGAGTTTTTTCATTCTGCCTTCCCCTAAACCCCAAGTAATTAACGATAATTTATAACACTACAAAATTATTCCCAATTCTCAACCTCACATAAAATTCAAAGCTCGAAAATAAAAGAGTCTGAAAGAATGAATCTGAGAAGGGTAAAATGTGGAAAAATACCTAGATATTTTGTTGGAGGAGGAAAGGAGCCCAAGCAGCTGAATGACTGTGCTCACGGTGATTCTCAAACTCCGCACAGTTTGTCTCTTGCAATTTTTTTCAAGATCTTGCTGCTTTCTTTGAAAGTTTGGAAAGCTTTTTATGTTCGTATACTATTAAAAAGAAAACACATGTTAGTAAAAAGAAAATATCATTGACAACTGCATAGATTATTTCAATTGTGCCTACTATAATCAATTAGAGAGAGAACGAACATGAAGTAATCCATACATTTTCAATGTGAAATATATATATTTACAAAGCTCTATTACTGAGAAAGACCAACACCCTCTTTTTTTTTGCACCATGATCAGTTTTAATGTTCACATTTATAAATATCACAGCTTTTAGTTCCAATTTTTCTCTCTCTGCCTATTTCAATTTAAATTCTTTTTTCACTTGGTTCAAATGATAGAAACTTACTAAAACACACAAAGTTTAATTTAACTTTAAACAATGTTATCCAATGAATTACATTAACCTCAATCAATTTACAGCCTTCTCAGTGCATGAGGAATGAAAAGCGGAAAGGGACCTTCTTGAATTAACAAAAATAAGTACCATTTTACATTAGTTGAAGGTAATATAAATTTGTTAACAAAAAATACAAACATAAAAGTACAAAAAAAAAGACAAAAGACAGCCATTAGTTGAGGAGAAACCATTGTCATCTTCAATCAACGACAAACAGTTGCTATCTCCTCGAATTAACGAAGATAACCATCATTTTTCATTAGTTGAAGGTAATATAAAAAGAGATTATACATGTGCAGTTTTAATATGCACAAATCCTATGCAATCAACCAAATTGCTCGTGTCTTCTCAGGCAGGAAAATACAATGGAACGATCAGGAGGTTTCCATGGCTATCAAAGACCATGACTACCCCAAACACAACCTCTGCTTCTGGTAAAACTATTCTTCCTTAATTTTCTTAATAATTAACTTACCTATGTATAATTTCACATTTCTTACAAATATATATAGACACACTCTTCTTGATATACATATGTGTGTGTGGTACCATTTTTATATATCTATTGCATGTATTAGATGTATGTATCTTGGTTAATTCAGAGCCTTGCTGTCCGTTTGTCTTTCTCAAATGCATATATTTTCGAACATATCCAGGCAAACACAAAATTCAAAACTAAATTCATAGTCAAAACATTTAAAGGCAAATGACATTGATAATATCAACCCAAATCAGCAAAGAAAAGTAATATTGGGAAATATCCACCACTACCTCAGACGGAAGCTCGTTTTCAATAATCCTTTGGTTGTTTATAAACCCTTTGATGGGCACACAGATGCCACGCACAGTCTCAAGGTTGATACGACCATAACGCTAAAATTTCCTACAGAGATAAAAAGAAATCAACAAAATTTAGCCAACTCTAAATTCAGCAGAGGAAAACAAAAAAAACCTTAAAACAACAGAAAAACCAACATCCAGACACAAAAATAATGGGTTAAAGCAACGAAATCCATCTGTAAAAGAGTTTTACAAATTTTAACAACAACTTCCCCAAAAAGGAAAAATAAATCAGAAAAAGGTAAATTAATTTACCTGAAAGTTCAAATCTTTTGGGGTTTTGGCTTCAGTTTAAATACCAGAGAGATGAAACCCAAAAGAAAAATTACTCCCAATTTTTTCAAAATCCCAACAGCTCCGATCCTGCGAGAGAGAGCTCGAGAAGATGGAGCAAAGACTGAGAGAATCAGGACGGGAAACAGGCCAAATTAGCATAAAATTATCGGGAAAATTAAACAATAATGACTTGCCTGGTAAAACAAAAGGTTTTAAAGAGGTCGTGGAAACCCTACCAAATTTGATGTGGGTATTGGAAGAGAGAATCTGACTGTGATTGGTTTCAGATCAGAGGAAGAAGAAGAGAGGAACCTTCGAGAAAGAAAGAGAGAGAGAGAGAGAGAGCTGCTTCGGCTTTTGCATCCTCCTTCCCATTACGCGATATTCAACACGCGCACAACACGGGTAAAATTGTCATTTCACTGTGCAATACAGAAAATTGACGTTGAGAATCAGCAGCAGCGAAGGGCATTACCGCCATTTCACTGTTCATGAACAGTTAAAAACAGTGCCAACAAAACCGAGTTTTAGTATATAGATAATTTTCCAACCTATTATTCTGGGTAAATTACATAATAACCCTATAGGTTTGACATCTATTACAACCTTATACAATATCTTTAAAACATTTCACTTTCATACCTCACGTACTATTTTATTTCAAAATAATAACTCTGTTACATTTTCCATTTATTAATTCATTAAGTGCTAACGTGGCTGACACATTTGTGCCACGTGGCTACCAAATGTGTGCCACGTGGCCTTTTTTTATTTTAATTTTTTTAAAAAAAACCTGAATCATCTAAATAAATTTAAATAAATTAAAAAAAACTTAGAAAATGCAGAACCCACCCCCGCAACCTCTCCCCACCCCTATTCTCCCTCTCAAGCTTCCCAACCACCTCCCTCTCCTCCACTCTCTTCACCTCTCCTCCCATCCAAAAACCCACCCCACCCCTACCTTCCCCAAGCCCTTTTCTCCTTTTCACCCCCACCCCCTTTCCCACTGCACCCCGCACCCACCCTCCACACCCATCCTCTTCCCTCCTCTACATACCCCACTCCTTAAATCCACACCCATTCCTCCCGGCGTAGACGAGATCTGGGTTTGGAGAAGAGAATGGAGGAGGAGGGAGGAAGACGAACTGAAGGGGTTTTTTATGTTTTTTTTAATTCTGGGTTGCAGGGGAAAGAAGATGAAGATGGGGATAAGAGATGAGGAGGAGGAGGAGGAGGGGGAGAGACGAACTGAAGGGCTCCTTCTTTTTTTTTCCTGGGTTGCAGGGGGAAGAATATAAAAGAGAGGAGGAGGAGGGGGAGGGAGGTTCGTCTGCGTGGGTCGTGGGGGGATAAGGTTTCTGGGTTTGGGGGTTGCGGGGAGGTGTGCTTCAGGTTTAGGGAGGTGAAGAGAGTGAAGGAGAGGGAGGTGGTTGGGAGAGAGAAGAGGGGTGGGGAGAGGTTGCGGGGGTCGGTTCTGCATTTTCTAAGTTTATTTTTTATTTTTTATAATTTATTTAGAAGATTCAGGTTTTTTTTTTTTAAATTAAATTTTTTTTGCCATGTGGCACACATTTGGCAGCCACGTCAGCGTTTAACGGATCAATGGATTGAAAATGTAATGGAGGTATTAATGGTATATCAATGGACTTCTTGCCGAGTATGCAAAGCCATTGGACAAAGAATTCCATTCTCCTAGAGATGCACATGGACATGGTACTCATACTTTAAGCACTGTAGCTGGTTCTTTTGTGGCTAACATTAGCTACAAGGGCCTTGGTCTTGGTACAATTAGAGGTGGTGCTCCAAATGTTCGGTTGGCCATTTACAAGGTTTGTTGGAATGTGCTTGGAGGCAAATGCTCAACAGCTGATATGTTGAAAGCTTTTGACGAAGCAATACACGATGGGGTTGATGTGTTGTCATTATCACTTGTGAATTATGTTCCCCTCTTCTCAGATGTTGATGAGCGTGATGGCATTGCAACTGGTTCGTTTCATGCTGTGGCTAAAGGGATTACTGTTATGTGCGCAACTAGAAATAATGGATCTTCAGCACATGTAATGAAGACTTTCCATGCTTTATATCCATGCTTTATATCCATGTAATGAAGACTTTCCATGCATTGAAGTTGACTATGGGATTGGCACTCGAATTCTATTTATATCCGGTCTACCAAGTACGTAACTTTAAACTTTATTGTAAAATGTGTGATTAGTACTGCTAGGTTTGTTTGTAATCCTCAAAATTTGTTTGGAATGCACATATATCCTCTTGTAAAGTTGAGCCCTCCTAAAATGATTGTGGGCAAACCACTATCTGCAAAGGTGGCTTATTTTTCCTCTAGGGGGCCAAACTCCATTACACCAACAAGTCTCAAGGTATCTACTCTAAATTAATGCTGATGTTCGATGTATAACGGGTTGGGCGACTGTAGTTTTCATGTTGACATCAACTTTTGAAAATTTGTAACTCTCAACAGTTCAATAAACTGAAACTTTTTTCAAGGGATCATCTCTTGCATGTTTTCTCCTGGAAAAGTTAACAAGTTTTAGGTAGAGACAAGTTGGTGTCATTCGAGATTCACTTTAAAGTCTTAAACTGTTGAGACTCTTCTTATAACACTTTTTTTATTGTTGTATCTTTGTCGGACAGCCAAATATAGCCGCGCCTGGTGTGAACATACTAGCAGCAACTTCTCCATTTTATTCATTCACGGAGGGTGGATATGCCATGATGTCTGGAACATCAATGTCAACTTCTCATGTCACAGGCATTGTGGCACTTATCAAGAGAATGCATCCTAATTGGTCTCCAGCAGCCATCAAGTCAGCAATAATCACAACTGGTAATCACATTATATGATATGTTCCTAATTTCAATAAGATATATGTGAAACCTAACAGTTTTATGAATTTAAATGAAGCATGGAGGAACGGCCCATCTGGTTTACCGATATTTGCTGAAGGATCTCATCAAAAGTTGGCAAATTCATTTGACTTCGGAGGTGGTCTGGTGAATCCCAATGGCGCAGCAGAGCCTGGACTAGTATACGATATGGGCGCAGCCGACTACATGGAATATCTTTGTGCAAGGGGGCACAACAACTCTGCCATCTCTCGGCTTATAGGGAAAATCACAACGTGTCCCGTGAAGAAGCCCTTTATCCTTGACGTTAACCTACCTTCCGTGACCATACTTGTGGATGCAAATTTATTCCTCCTTGATCTTGGACAAGATTACACCTACAAAACAATTAACATCTTTGGTTAAGGCCAAAAGCCTTACGCGCCCACAATGAATGGGGGGGCTTTGGCTAATATGATATGACCGCCGCTTGCCCTTTACCATTATGTCGTCGACATAGACCTCCATGGTTACCCCAATTTTCTTTTTGAACGTTATATTTACTAACCTTTGCTAAGTGGCTCCAACGTTCTTGAGGCCAAAAAGGTATGACCTTGTAGCAATAAGTGCCCCGCTCGATCACGAACACGATTTTCTCTTTGTCGGGCTTATGCATGGCTATTTGGTTGTAATCGGAGTATGCGTCTAAGAAGCTAAGCAGCTGGTTCCCAGAAGTTGAATCTATTATCAGATCGATCTAAGGGACATGATAAGGATCTTTTGGGCATGCTTTGTTGAGGTCGGTGTAGTCTATGCAAACCCTTCATTTGCGCTTATCTTTCTTCATGACTAGTACAACATTGGCAAGCCATACCGAGTGTACTACCTCTTCTATGAATCCGGCCTCCAATAGCTTGTCAATTTCCACCTCAATGATCGTTACTCGTTCGGGTGCGAAATGTCTTCTTTTTTGGATCACCGATTTGGCAGTGGGGTCGACGTGCAGCTTATGGCAGGCCACATCCGAGTCAATGCAGGGCATGTCGGATGGTGACCATGCGAAAACGTCTCGATTTTCTCTAAAGAAAGTCGTGAGTTCTTCCTTCTCGGTTGGGCTTAGTCGTGAGCCAATTTTAGCCGTCTTTTCTGACTGCTGGGGATCCAGAATGATGTCTTCGGTGTCTTCTTCGGGTTTCCATCCTATCTAGTCTGCTTGGGCACCATCTTCTCGATCCTTCTGCTGTAATTGCTATTTGGGAACCTCTCCGTCCCTTTGGACTTCAGTAGCTTCTACGGGGGTAAAGGTTTTTTTTTTAATTCTTTCAACATTTGCACAGTGCATTATCGGGATGTGGCCTGGTCAGACTTGACCTTTCCGATTTCTCCTCCCGGGATGGGAAATCAGATTTTTTTGACACTTGACGGAAGTGACTGTGTCCAGCTTAATCAACCAAGGTATCCCAAGAATCCCATTGTAAGGAGACTGGTCACTTATGATCATGAATGTCTGCTTAGAAACAACTGGCTATGTTTTCACGTTAAGTGTGATGTGACCGATAACAGTTGAGGTGTGTTCGTTGAATTTGGTGAGTACCTTTGCTCGGCTTATGATTATGCTTTCTAGGCCCATCTTCTAAATGACTGAGAGTTGAAGCAGATTGACTGCACTTCCATTGTCAACCATCATCCTGTCAACTATAGCATAGGCTAATTAGACAGATACTACTAGTGCGTCATCATGGGGGAAATCGACGCCTTCTGCATCCCATTCAATGAAGCTGATAATGGGTCCAAGTTGGGTATCAACTGTTTGGATTTGCGAGATTAGTAAAGCCTGCTGGATCTTCCTCTTTTTGGAGTTATTAGTGGCCCTCAAGTGTTCGGATTCGGCGAAGATGTCATTGATTCGAATCGTCTTGGTTGGCGGCTCCTTATCATCGTCTGCATTCCTTCTTGGTTGCGCAGCTGGCTTGTCCAAGTATCTATCGACCTTGCCTTCTTTCATGAGTTTATCTAGATAGTTCTTCCAAGTGTAGCAGTCGTCGGTTGTGTGACCAGGACCTTGGTGGAATGAGCAATACTTGGTGTGGTCCAACTTGGAAGTATCTCATTTTGATTGTTTCGGCAGCTTGAACTATGGCTCGTTCTTGATGTCACAAATGATTTGATGGATCAGAATTGAGAACTTAGAATAGTTCTTGGTTATTGGGCCTTTTTTTGTCGTGGGTCGGTCCCTACGTTTGGCCTCCTATCTGCTCTTGTTGGGCTGCTTCCTGTCTTCCTTCCTTTGAGCCGCTGCCAACTCTTTTCGAGGCTACTCGGGCACTTTTTCTGCTCGTCTAGCCTCGTCCTAAAGTGCATGCTTCTCTATCCTGCTAGAGTTAGGTTTTCTTTCATGATCATTTCTCCGAACAGTGAATGGTTTGTTAGGAGTCCTTTTTGGAAGGCTGCAATTACTATTGAGTCGTCACATCCGACGATCTCTGCCTTCTCTTATTTGAACCTCTTTACGTAGTCGCGAAGCGACTCATTTGGGTTTTTCTTCACGTTGAACAAGTTATCAGACTTTTTCTTGATCGAGCGATATGATGAGTATTCTTTGCGCATCGTTGTTTCGATAAAGGACCATCGCACTTCGGTAGTGCTTCAAGAGCCTTTCTGGATCTCCATCTCTTTTGAAAGATGTGAAGTGTGACATGCTAAACTTGCATGAAGGCTCTGCTTGCTCAATCTCATTCGTGAAGGGTGATCTACTTATATTGGTCATGTCCCGCCGTAGTACCTCATCGGCCGCTTCGTTGTGTTGAAAATCACGCAATCGTTTATTGAAGAGTCTCTTTAGCTCTTCTTGGATTTGCCTTTGCTGAGGTAGCAGAGCTCTTGACTACCCCCGATCTTGACCTACTGATCTAGGTTGCTCTTCCATGTTCTTGGTTTGTTCACACCGAGGCGGCGGTGCATGTGGCCCATCCCTAGCAGGCAAGGGAATTCTTTGCAGGCTACCGGTTGAACTTGATTCGGATTGAGTGACTGCTTCTCTTCGTTCATCATGTTGTCTGCTCCGATGTGATGTGGAGAATGCTCATTGCGGACTTAACCGCAAATGCATATTTTGCCTTACTCATGTTGATTATCGGAGCGTGGCCCCAACTGTGAATGTATACTTGCCCGTGAGCCTAATCGAGAGTGCACACTCCTCCAAGTGCTAAGACTGGAGTATGCTCTATCTCAATGACCTAATCGGGAGTGTACATTACCCGAATGCTCGATTTGTGGTTGGTTGAGTGACTGCTTAATAGGGTGCTGCTAGAGAGGTTCCTCGTCTACCCTTATCTTACTTTTGGACACCTCGTCTGGGGCACGTTGTATCTCGGTGCGTTACAAAAGTTGATTCACCAAGGTTGTCTATTATGCCAGGGCGCTCGCCAACTCCATGACTTATCGGGACAAGTGCTATTCACCGTTCGGATTGGAAGAGCTTAGAAGGAATATGCCTCTTTAAGCAGTGGAATAGTGGTAGGCTCTAAGCGCGATATTTGAGTTAGGAAATGTCAAATCCGCCGAGAAATGTGGTGAAAATACCCCCGGTTCGATGATTGGTCCTAATGGTTGGGATAGTCTCGAACCGACTTGGGCTGCTTGGGAAACCACATAAGCAGGTTGGGTTGCAGGAGCAAGTTGGGCCACGAGAGTGGGCTGCTCAGTGCATGATGCACGCGAATGCGAGGCTTGGGATCGGCTTGGCAACGCATTGAGCTCGCGGTGGGCTTGGAGTGACATGGCTTGGGTCATGGCCTTAGTGTCATGGGCCTTGGATGGCAAGGCTTGGGATTGTTTTGGTGGCACGGCTCGGGCCCTGGTAGTGGTGCCATGGACCTCACCGCGGGTGGCTATCACCGCGGTGGTTCCCGTGGTGGAAACTCGTGGTGGTGGTGCCAATCCACCTATTGTCACATTTAGCCTCGTGGATTGCCGCAGTCCCATCTCTTAAATATTGGAATTTTCACTTGTTGAATTTTCTAAGTTTCTAGCGATTGCTCTTCTCTTTTACGTTTTATCAAAGAATTTTTGCAAATAAAAAATTCTAATAATAAAAACGTACGAAAAACTACAAGTGGACTAGAAAATAGAGAAAAAAAACCTTTTTATGCGAGAGTCTTGTACGAGTGTGTGACTCTTTTCTCAATGAAAGCACCAATTTGTGGATGCAAATTTCTTCCTCCTTGATCTTGGACAAGATTGTACGAGTGTGTGACTCTTCTCTCAATGAAAGCACCAATTTGTGGATGCAAATTTCTTCCTCCTTGATCTTGGACAAGATTGCACCTACAAAATAATTAACACCTTTGGTTAAGGCCAAAAGCCTCACACGCCCACGATGAATGAGGGGGGGGCTTTGGCCGAAGAACCTCCGATGCCAAAGTTAGAATTTAGAGAGAAAAGTGTTTAGAGAGTTTTTGGAGTTTTGCAATAGTGTCGACTAAGGTTTTTAGAGAAAATGGGGTTTAATATATAGAGTATGGCTGGTCCCCTTTGGAGAAAAGGTGGCCGGCCTTTGGGATGTTTTTTGGGTGTATTTTGTGGTTTAATGTGTGATTTATTTGGCAATTAATTGATTAAGTAGGCAATTAATCCATTGATTAGCCAATTAACACATTTTTGGAAATAAAGTTTTGGAGGTTATTGAATGAATAAAATAAATAGCTAATTGATTAGCTAAAAAAAGGTAAAATGAGGTAAAATATATATGGAATGAAATAGGTTTTGGGAGTTACCTTGTAGAAGGGATTTGATGAGATAGGTTTTGAATTGTTACCTATTTTGGGCACTTTTAATTTAGTTGAATGATGATTGCCCGCTGCTTGCGCGTAGGCCTGTAAATGGGTCGGGTTTATTGGGTTTGGGTCGGGTTTAACCCGACCCGTTAAGCTAATGAGTCTTAACGGGTCACCCATTTCACCCGTTACTGTTTTTTTATTTTATTTTATTTTATTTTTTACTCATTTCATCCAGTCAATGTGTTTTCCTCACATTACTTCAACTATCACAAATTCAATATCAGTTAAAAAAAATATTACTAAATAAATAACTGCTACAAGGAAAGTCAACTCATGTGTGCAAAACTTATTTTGAGTATATGTTACTATATTTTACCACCACACACTAAAAACAAGGGGTTCCCTAATGCCGAGTACTAAACACATATAAGCAAAAGGCATTTTAACAAACAACTCCTCTGTGATCATACAGAATCTGGACTTCTGCAAAACTCAAATAGAAGAAGCACTGCATTTTAACTATTAGATTATGGGTCCATTCCAAACCGACCAACTGGAGAACAAGTGCATGGCACGGTAAATACTTACATGACTGGGAGGGATGTGTTTTCCTCACCCATACAAAGTACGTGCAGCAATCATTTACAGCGTATTCATCAAAGGTCAGATGAGGATTGAACTCACAACAAACAACTTAGAGGCCTCATAATTCTATCTTGATTACAAGTACACTCCCATTGATAAGTTCCTTGATATTTGCTTGGTTGATCCTCCCAAGCCAAAATTAGCAGCATTCTAATTAGCAAACTTGGTAGATCCTACAATGTACTTTGCTGCCATTTTCCAACTACAATAATAAAGAACACAACAATAAGAAAAATGGAGAAATGTTGAACGAGAATAGCCATTTTCCAACTACACTTCACTCATCACCTATATAGCCTTTAACACATTGTGCCTTAGCTTAACAAGATAGTATTACATGCAGATTACGTAGAAAAATGTCTTTAAAAGAACAAGTTAAAAAACATACCATACTTAATCAAGACTAATACTACTAGAGCATTGTCCCGAGTTTTCGTTAAGGCTCATGTCAAAAATTTCTTCAGTAAGTTCTTCCAAGTCAGCACCCTCTTTCTCTAAAGCTAAACATAAAAAGAAAAAAGGAAAAACAATTATAACCTATTATCTAAGCAAAAAAACAAAAAAAAAAAAATACAAAGAAATATGAAATTTACCTTATTTGCCAAAAAGCCAATCTCTAGTACATAGCAAGACTTGAACGGTTTCAGGCAACAAAGAACTTCGATATTGATCAAGCACCCTACCACTAATACTAAATGTTGATTCCGAGGCAACAGTTGAGATAGGAATTGTTAACACATCAGAAGCCATAGAGAAAGTACGGGATAACGAAATTGCTCCAGTTTCCACCATGAAAGAATATTCAACTCTTGTTTTCTATCGAGTCTCTTTCCTTCAAGATATAGATGTAATTTAGTTTTTTCAACTGAAGTTGACCCATCTTGATAAATATTATCAAATTCCTACATATAAAAACAAAATAGAAACAAAATAGAAACAAAGATCAACGTACAATATAAATATGCATATAAAAAGTATAAAAAGTATAAAAAGAGGAATAACAAATATAAATACTACCTCAAAGGGTTTGTCTCCAACTTTTATTTGAGTAGGAGTTTGATTAACTGGGTTGGATACAAGAAGATGAGAGAACTTATCCATGTAACTACCAAAGAGTGCAAACAATGTGTCACTATCATCCTTCAACTCTCTCGACTCCTTACCATAAAGCTTGTCATAACCCCACTCTACAAATTGCAATTTATAGCGAGGATCAAGAATCACTGCAATGACAAGGATCAAACTATACTCTGACCAATACTTTTCAAACTTCAAATTCATATAACTCCCCATCCGTCTCATGAAATCATCACAATCTTCCATAGCATCTTAAATACAATAATGGACTTTGAACACTTTTGGGAAGAACAAGTTTGATGTAGGGTAATTTGTTCCGGAAAATAAGCAAGTAACTTCATAAAAATACCCCAAGAAATTGAAAATCTTCTCTATTTTATCCCACTCTTCCAAGGAAGGATATGAACTAAAATTAGAATCAACAAGTGCCAAATTGAAAAAAGCACGACGATAGAAATGGCACTATCAAGCATTGTATATGTCGAATACCATCTAGTAGGCACATCTTGTCTCAACCCTCTTTTACTACCTGCCAACCCTACTTGTGCAACGCAAGTAAAAAACTTATTTTTTCTCCCTTCTGAACACTTTATATATTTGATGCACTCACGAACTTTCGTCACTGATCCATCAATTTCTTTTAGTCCATCTTGGACTATCAAGTTTAGAATGTGAGCACAACAACAAACATGGAAGAACTTTCCATCCATTAATAGCGAACCTCTAAAATTTAATTGTTTCTTCAATAACTCAACAGAACAATCATTTGCAGATGCATTATCCAAAGTAATGGAAAACAGTTTCTTTTCAATCCCCCATTCAACTAATAAGGTGTTAATTTTTTCAGACAAAGCAACCCCGGTATGTGGAGGAGGCATACAACAAAAATTTAAAATTCTTTTGTGCATTTTCCTTTCTTTGTCAACAAAGTGAGCTGTGAGTGAGATATCCATCAGTTGTAGCAGAAGACCATAGGTCAGATGTCAAACAAATTCTTCCCTCAACTGTATTTAACCAATCTCGAAGTCTTATCTTTTCATCTTCAAACATCCTCAACACATGTTTCTTAACTGTATTTCTACAGGGCAGTTTGATATCAAGAGATATGTATTTAAACAAAGTTCTAATGCCCTCATATTCAACAAACCTAAAAGGCAAATCATGCTTAACTATAGCCTAAATCAATAGCTCACAAAAACTAATATGGTTAAACTGAGGAGAACGCAATTCAACTTGAGATTTTTTCATATCAATGTGATGTTTTTTACTACACGTATCCATATGATTCAATAGGTTTTTCGTCCCACAATTACTATCACATACGTAAACTATCCCACAGTTTTTACACTTCGCATGTTGTTTATTATCAGGACCAACAGGCAATTCTTCAAACAAAGTCCAAACACGGGATCTCTTTTGACGTATCTTACCTACTCGTATACCTTTAGCCTTTCTTTTTGAAGGACTTGGTGCACTTATTGTACCTTGCGTATCACTTAGATTGAATGTTGACATTTCCATAGCCTTGATGTTCTCTTCATCAATATCCATCTGCACTAACCATAAATGAAAAGACGTGAATGGAAGATGCAGTTTAATTTCTACAAAACATTTATGTCTGACACACGCTTAACATTCAATAGCATCAACTGCAACCACTTTATCTCTCTTTTTACCAATGTGCATGACATTAGCAGCAAATATTCAATCTGTATATTAAGAATTCTGACCATATCATGTATCTGCTTGGAAAGGAAGCCAATACATTGATCATTTAAAGCTTACTTTTTTAACATGAAAGCCATAAGAATCACCATACACCTTGTGATTGACATGTAATGATAGGAATCATCGTTGAAACATCACATAAGGCAAACAAAACTGGTTTGATGAGATGACCCCTCCCTCATATTTATGTCTGACACACGCTTAACATTCAATAGCATCAACTGCAACCACTTTATCTCTCTTTTTACCAATGTGCATGACATTAGCAACAAATATTCAATCTGTATATTAAGAATTCTGACCATATCCTGTATCTGCTTGGAAAGAAAGTCAATACATTGGTCATTTAAAGCTTACTTTTCTAACATGAAAACCATAAGAATCACCATACACCTTGTGATTGACATGTAATGACCCCTCCCTCATATTTGATGTTCGCGCCAACAAACTCTAGATTAAATTTTAATAAGAGATCAGAAATGCTAAACATTTGGAGTCTCGAAACATCTTCTATCTCCAACCAATTTAATCCCATAGCAAAAAAAATTCGTCTTCTTAGCAGTGCCTAGGTGACTATATTACTAAGCAAATAGTCCTTCGTTAAACATAATCGGTTCTCTAAAATTTATCGATGAAAGGAAAAATATATATATTCACTAAGAGTGAGTGAACAAAGTATGTGTGAAAACCTTCCATGCTCCTAATCTTCCTAGATTCCTACTCTCGTTGTATTACTCTCTTGGTTATATTTCTATTACATATTCATATGCACAAACAGGCAGGGAAACAATATCCCTCTTAAATCTTATTGACACTTGACTTCCAAACTCAACATTGAAAAGAACTCCTTAAATTACATTTCAATCTAAACAGGAACCCAAATATTAGATATGGACATTAGCTCAAATATTATATTAGTTTGGGTTCCAGAAAATAAGCAAATATTAGCTCAAATATTTGGCCTGTTTAAAAGTGAAGTGCTTTTGTTTAGTATTCGTAAGTGATCAAGGCCACCAGTGGTGGTTTTTCTGATAAAATGCAAAAACAACAGCATCCTATCTCAACTGTTGGATTTACCCAAAAAATGTGGAGACCTAATCAATGCAAAAGCAGAGACCTAATCAATCCAAGAAAGTCCTGCGATTTACCCAAAAATGCAGAGACCTAATCAATGCAAAAGCAACAGACATAATGCAAAAACAACAACCCAATTCCAATTCAAAAACCTACCAAAACATAGCAAACTCAATACTTTTAATTTCATGGGGGTGAAATAACAACTCCAATTTACCCAAAAATGGAAATTTTAATTGGAGAATATACAAATGAACAAATTTTACACAAAACCCATGAACAAAAAGCAAAACCCAATATCCAAAACACAACCAAAAAAAAAAAAAACCCGAAAAGGGTCGAATCTAATCTGCAGAGACCACCTAAAATCAAGCTCAAGTAAAATCTGAGAAAAAATAGATGAATCTAATCTGCAAAAACGAAAAGTAATCGAAATGAAAGAAAAGGTGGAAGGGAATTGGAGCTTACCAAAGAGAGAGTGGTGGAGTTCAGTAAAAATTTTGAGGGAAGAAGATGAGGGAGATAACCGGAGCACAGCGATCTCTCAGTCTCAGAGAGCTAACGAATGGTGTGCGAGGCAACGACTAGCAACTAGCAAGAGAGCTAGGAACCTGAGGGTTTTGTAAACTATTGAAATTACACTTAAGTCCTTACTAACGGGTGTTAATGGGTGGTTAACGGGTTTCACGGGTTCACCCAAATTGACTCGTTATTTAACGAGTGATTAATGGGTTGACCCGTTAACCACCCGACCTGTTTATCACCCACCCGAATACTAATTTTAACGGGTTGGGTCGGGTCGGGTTAACGGGTTGGGTTGAAAATGCCAGCCCTACTCGCGCGTAGGAATCCCGTTGTACCTCAAGGGTATTTTTGTCCTCTTTTGTCCAAAGATTCACGTATCGCATTGTGATTATTTTTGTTTCCACAATACCTAGTCCGAGAAATCCCATCACAGTAAAAAGGACTGTAACAAATGTTGGAGCCCCTGAGTCCATTTACAAAGCTACCATTGAACCTCCATTCGGTACAATTGTATATGTGAACCCTACTGCTCTGGCCTTCAATTCCACAGTTGAAAAACTCACTTTCACAATCACAATCTCCGCAATCCACGAGATGAACACTGGTTACTATTTTGGAAGCCTTACTTGGGTTGACGGAGTGCATGCCGTGAGGATCTCTTTGTCCGTGAAAACTGAGTTCTTACAACCTCATGATGATGATGAAGACTAAATTGAATACTGAAATAAATTTGTGCATTTTAGTAATGAAAAATATCCGATAACTATAACATTATCATTCCATATGTACTAAAAATAAGATACCAATGATCTCACACCCGAAAACACAAGAAACAAAAAGAGGGAAAATAAGTAGTGGATCGTATGTGTTTTCTTGTATCACCAGAGGGACAAAGGAGAAAGAACTTGTTGACTGAATCTCAATGTCCATTATTTTCGCTAGGAAATTATGGAGGAAAGCAATTTATAATTTAATTGTTTAGTTTTTCGTTTTAATTTCTTTTTTGTATTAGCAGGTGACAAGTGTTGAGTTGGGTCATAGTTTCATACAACATGGTCACCATTGAAGATCAAAGCAGGTGGTATTCGTATCACTTCATATTTCTGATCAATACTTGGATGATATAAAATTAAATGTGAGAAATCATAACCTTTCATTTCGCCATATATATAATTATATGGGTAAACAAATCTCCATAATAAAAATGTTCTGGTTCTCTCTCTTTTTTAAAATCACTAAAGCTTTTGGGCATAATAAAACTCTTAAATACCAATCCTTGTTTCAAATAAATGAAAAATGAATGATCGAAGTCCGTTGTATTTTTTCCCTTCAGCTATTTCTTGGAAAGGTTCTTTGTAGGGTTTGGTGTCTTTCTGTGCAGTGCATAAATTTTGTAAGTATATTGTGTACAGGGGTTTGTAAACATTATTAACACACTATCTTTTCTACAAAGATAAATTTAACCTGAAAAGAAAATAACTCAAACAGACTTTTGGTTTTTGTCTTTGAAAAACCTAGACAGTATGAGGGTGATTTTATTGATGACAAAAAAAAAGAAATTACACTTAGTTAAGGGAGACATAAACTTTACTTCTCATAAAAGTACATGAAAAAAAAGGGATATGAAACCTGAGTCCTCTAAAGCCAAACCTAAAAGGTCTAAAACCCGCAAAATAAGTCGAATAATTCCACAAAGTTAGGACAACTCAAATGGACTTATATGTATGCTTCTTTGTTACAAACTATAGCCTATTCTTATAAAAACAATTTCTTGTATAGGCTTCTTATATGTATGCTTCATCTTCTCCACGAACTTATGAATTAAGTGAATATTTTTTTCCTGCAAAATTTATTCCTCACAGGACACAGGATTTTCAAGTGATCAATGCACTTTCGTCCTTAGTTTTCCAACGACAAATTTAACTCATTAGGTCCATTACCATATCGTACTCCCAAATTCTCCGACACTCCAAGGAAATTTTTGCATGTATTAGGAGAAATACCGCCACGTATTGTTATAATTTAAAAATAAATTAATAGTTTTGATATATCTTACATTTAAAATTTAATTTAAAAAGCAAAAACATGTTATAATTTGAATAAAATAATAAATTTATGTGATGGTGATTTGGGTGTTTTAAACCGTACTACTACTATACTAACCATATCTTTCCCTTCTTCACGGGCCTTTGATTGCCATGACTCATTTTGACTTGTCCTCGCGCTTCCTATATTTTTCCCATAAACTTTGTTTAAGTTTACGTAGGAAGGAATTTAGCAGTTCATTAGATCCAGTTCAAGACTCCTTTTTGTTCTGTTCTGTTCTGTGCTGTTTTTTCTCTTTTTATGTTCAAGCCAAACACATGGACACTACATATGCAGTAATGTAGAGCATGTGTAATTGTTGGATTTCACATGCGGATAATTTGTTTTGATACCACGAAGGTAGTTGAGGTTTCACTATAAAGTGTGTTGATAATGAATCACGCATTGATGAGAAGCGGGGATCTTGCATGAGCTTATCAGTAAGCTAAGATATTCCTCATATTACCAATTGATTTAAGGTGAAACCTCAACTTTCTTCATGATATTAGAGTAGGTTATCTCATGTGTGAAGACTAGCGGCCACACGTGCCCCACTTCTGTTCCATGTGTTAGGCTTGAAAATTTTCACTACACGTGAGAGGGCATGTTGAGAATGAATCACGTATTAAACGGAGGAGGAATCTTGCATTGACTTATAAATAAGTTAAGTAATTCCCCATATTAACAATTAACTTTATAATAAAACCTCAGCTTCTTCACTATCATGCACATTCAGATGTTGCAGAAGAAAATATATTAACAGGCCTCTAAAAAGTTGGGTACTATAGTTGAACTTGTCAGTAGCGTTGGGTGAATGCTGCTATTAGTTTTATTATGTCATCAGTTTGATCAGTTCTGAAATAAGCTATTTGAGAACTGAAACTAGTGATGCAAACTTGATGGTGGCTGCCAATCAAATTATTTTATTAGGCAGCTCTGTTCATAGATTATATATGATATATCACACAATCAAATTATTTTATTAGGCGGCTCTGTTCATAAATTATATACCACACTTTCATTTCATATGATCATTGAGATAAGCAGCTAATAAGTACTAACATAAAGCTCTTAACTTAAAGAATTAAGAACATTTATCGTTTGCACCCAAGGTCCTAGCTCTAAGTCTGATTGATTACTTAAACAAATAAAAGAGTGCATATCTGAGATGCTCAAGTTACAAAGTAATTCCTATGAGATGCCCTATTTGCTTGTTTATCATTCAACACACGAGATATCACAAATAATAAACGTTGCAGTAATTGCTAATGTGCAGCTTCTTAATGACCATCATCATCCTAATAGGTATTAAACCCTAATAGATAAGTAGATTTACCCAGACCCGGCCCCATTCATTGTGGGCTTTTACAAAACCTACTCATACCATAATTGCCCCAAGCCCATATTCAACCTAATGGGTGTTTTGGTAAAATCACTTTCAAGGATTTGCCCTTCTAAACTTATGTGTCAATTTTCTAATAGCTACTCTAATGGCTCTCTTTTATTGACAGGCCCTTCATCAAAAGATGCATATTTTTATTTTTATTTTTATTTTTCGACAAAGATGAAAATTTTATAGTCTGTATACTCGGCCAACAAATATTTGTAAATGTTCATTCCAATGCATTTTGATTGGACATTTCGTATCTCTTGATGGATAGAAGTGATGCCTATTACTTTATAGAAAAGATTAGAATTCTCTCACTTCTTTCCATCTCCTTCTATTTCATTCTCTCAAATTCTTTATTATTTTTTAATTTTTTTTATAAAAAATTAATATAAAATTTTGATATGGCTTAAATGTGACTGTTCAAATAGAAGGGAAAAGAAAGAGAGGAAAAAAAAAAGAGGGAATAGAATCGGGAATAGAATCATACTCCTTATGGAGAATGTTTTCCAATGCATTTTGCATGGACATTTCCGATCTCCAATTGGATAGAAGTAAATCCCTATTATTTTATAAATTCACCTATATTAAAGAGTATGTCAGTTTTTTATTTTAAACAAATGATATTATTTACATTAATAGGATGGAAGAGTGGGTTAAGCCTCACAATAGGCTAGTAATAATGTGGTGCAACTTTGCATTTGGTGAGAATCGAATATAAGATCTCACACTTACAAGTGAAAAGGAATAAGAGTATGTCAGTTTTGTGTGTTCCAAATAACATTATTATTATTATTTTAGTTGATTGATAAAATCCTCCCTCAAGAGTACGGTCGAGGTTCCTTTAAAAAGATTTTCATTCTTCACTTGGTATTTCACAATTTTTTTATCAATGATATATTTATAGTAAAAGGATGAGAGAATAAGTTAATTGCAAACTTGTTATTCTCGTGATTCAAATTTAAGACATCTTACTTTTAATTAATAAGGAATACCTTTCAACCATAGTAATAAATGACCAGTATTTCACAACTTTGAATAGATGTGAAATATAATATATATTGTAGTAAAAAAATCCCCGATAAAATAAGCGAAAAAGGAAATGGATAGGACCACATAATTATGTCATAATCATTTGGTAATGTATTATTTCTGTCAAGACTTCTGCACGTTAGAGTGCCAGCGTGACTAGAATATCCATTGTATGGGTTAGAGATTAATTACATTACCACCTAAGATATATATCATATTCCATTCATACTAAAAAGGCTCCATAGTCGTCTTTGATATAGGAATGCATTTGACTCTCCTAATAAAACTTGGTGGTATTTAATTAATCCATTTGTGTAAACAATATATGCCACATGATTTGGAAAACTATGTCAAGCCTTCTAGAATTCTGTGAAATGTCTACCACTTGTAAATTGTGATGCTCGTTACTCACCTGTCACTTTATTTTATAAATATTGCAGAAGACTTGGTCTTTATATTTGAATTAGTACAATTTGATCAACAAGCACACCGTTTTTTTTTTTTTTTTAATACGATTGATATTTTACTTCAAATTAATCAATACAATTGTATTCGAATACATAGAAGAGCACATCTAATTTCATGTTTGCAAGTTTGGATGAACTGATTTGTCGAATATTTTCGAAACTTCATGACAGCAGGAAGGGAGTTTAACTTCCAACGTCTAAAACAGTATTCACCGCCAACCTTTTTGTCCCTTTTGTCTTCATTTAGGGGGCGTTTGTTTGCCCTCACTAAGTGGGACTGGACTGGACTAGACTAGCTGTTAGTCCAATACTGTGTTTGTTCCATGCTGGGACTAATATTAATGAGACTAAAGGGGACTAGCATGGACAAAACCCTTCACTAAGAGGTCTTAGCGAGACCCCCCAATAACCATGGGACTAGCTAAGACTATCCTCTCTCGTCCTCGTCATGCTCAACAACCACTCCCGATAGACTCCTCGTCATCTCCGGTCACCTAGATCATAATAAAATATTAATAATTTATATATTAAATAATATAATATTAGAATTTGTTATTATCCAGCTTCTTAGTCTAACACTGCACCAAACGCTTCACTAAATTAGTCCAGCTTAGTCTAGTCTAAGCCAATCCAGCTTAGTCCTTGAAGCTAGTCCAGTCCGAGATAGTCCGGCGCAACAAACGCCCCCTTAGGGTTTAAGGTTTAGAGAGAGAGAGAGAGTTATTTTCCAAGCTACGATTCTAGAACGTAAATAGTCAATCTGTCTCCGTCACCTTCTGTATTATCATCCCTTGTTTCCTTCACTCTCTCTCTCTCTCTCAGGTCAAGATATTACTAAGCAAAAAGGATTTGTATTTTGTAGCTTTCAAAAGAAAATAAAATATATTAATAGGAGCCTACTGCTAAGAGCAATCATTCTTGTATACCCGATGTTTCAAGTAGGATATCCCCCTTCCGGCTAATATTGCTTGTATAAAAATAAAAGAATTTTAATGAAATATTTTTCGTTTTGTTTACTTTTAACGAAAAATCACATTTTTACTTTTTCTGTCTACTATTTACTACACATATATTTATCACTTTTCATTAAAACTAAATTTTTTTTGAATTTTTAATTAGTTTTTCTTAAAAATAAAAGTCTGAAGTGATCGAGGACTTTAAAGTTTAACTTTTCCCATTATTTATTCTCTAATTTCCCCTAACTTTTATCGACTTGACCTACCCTCCATGCTAGCATGCACCAGCCTAATGCTGTTATAAAAATAGCGGCTAACAACCACGTTATGCAGAGTTAATCAAATGTTCATATACATGCACTTGGTATAGTTCATTGCAAGTCATATGTGACCCTAGTTTTTTTTATGGAGAAATTAGATTCACATTCTTCTTTTTGCTACTCCATTAATTAAAATTCTATTCATTTTCAATTTTTGATCAAGGTTCTTAGATATTAATAACATCATTAATTATTTGAATAATAAAATATTTTTATTTTTAAATATATTCCCTTAGTGTTAAAAATGTTACAATTAGTATATTTATATTTATGGCTAAATTTTTTATCATATATTTTATTTTTAGTTTGTACCTATTTTTAATTTACCAATTTTTTTTTTCATTTTTAATTTGTACCCATATATTAGTTTCTTTTTGTGCCCATATTTTTTAAAAGTTTTATTCTTGTTTGTACTCATGTGTATACTGTTACGTGACATTGTAAATTTAATCAATGATATAAAAATTACATATGGTATATTTATGTTTTATGCCTAAACTTTGTATCATATATTTATATTTTTAGTTTATACCCACTTTTAATTTGCAACATTTTTTAAATTTGTAGTATTTTCTTTTTAGTTTTATTTTGTACCCATGTATTAATTTCTTTTAGCGCCTATATTTTTTAAAAATTCATTTGTACTCATAATTTTTTAATCTTTTATCTATACCCTAATTTATTTATAATGTACCCATTCTTCTTTATTAATGTACTACTTTGTTATATGTGAAATGTACCAATTTTTTTGTAAAATGTACCAAATTTTTAACACCATGGATACATTCTTTTGCCATTTATTATTTATTATTTTTACATAGTTTTTATCCATTTATTCAATCAAAATGTTTGAATTTTTTTATTGTAACCGTTTCTAATAGTATTATAATGAGGGATTTTAAATTTATAGGATTATAAATCTCATAAAATATCAAACAATTAATGTCAAAACTATAAAAATATAAATATTAATTGTAATATAATGAGTTGTACAAAGTCAAGGGACTTTGATCAAACTTTGAATACCATTAAGGTTTTAGTCAAAGAATGTTAAGGATTAGGAACCACATCCAAAATATCTTTTTTTTTTATCTATATATTCGAAAGAGAGTGCTCAGATTCTTCATCTTTATTCGGTCATAATTGATCAACCTCTTCCACACAATCCCCCCCTTGTCTCTTTCTCTATGTGGTAGAGACAATATGAGCAGCTCAAGTTCAATACTCGCTCTACTCAGCCTTATCTGTTTTACTGGTCAGGGATTGATAACAAGGGTGGCAGCAAAGAGCCATGTATATTTTCAACATCTCAAACACTTTTCTTGTTCTTTACGATTTGCCTTTTCTTTGATTTTTCTTCGAAAAAACTTGAACTGGGTGCTCTAATACATCTCTCAACCAACAGGTACACATTGTTTATATGGGAGATAGGCAGCATGACAACACCAAGTTAATCACAGATTCACATCATGACTTGCTTGCCACTGTCGTGGGAAGGTAATATAAATGGATGTAGAAAAATAAAGCCTTAAAGACCAATTATGTGAATTTTAGTCTAGGATCGATGCTTAAATAAACCAAATTTGGAGTAAAATGTTTGTTAAGTAATTATGTGGTTCTTATGCCACAGCAGGGAATTAGCCTCGGAATTGATGGTATACAGTTACAAACATGGTTTCTCTGGGTTTGCAGCCAAGCTCACGGAGTCTCAAACCCAACAACTTTCAGGTATCTTTTAAAAACTTTGCCATAGATCATTCAATAAAGTCATGTATCGTGTTCAATGATTGGCAATGATAACACAAACTGCCATGGACTCATGAAATGTTCTTCAAATTTAAATGAATAAGAGCATTGTACTTATTATAATTATGGCTTCTTATGCTTATAACATTTGTGAATTCAAGAGTTGCCTGGTGTTGTACGAATCATACCAAATAGCCTTCATAAGCTGGAAACAACTCGGAGTTGGGATTTTCTTGGCCTCTCACCTCACTCTCCTTCCAATATTCTTCCCAAGAGCAACATGGGGGATGGAGTTATCATAGGTGTTCTTGACACAGGTTGCTCTCTCTCTCTCTCTCTGCCTCTCTCTCTCTCTCTCTGTCTCTCCCTTCCTCCCTCCCTCCCTCCCTCCTTCCTTCCCCTCCCTCACACACACACACACACACACACACACACACACACACACACACACACACACACACACATGTACACACACGTAGTGGTCCCTTAACATAACCACTCAATGAATCAAGGCAGGTATATGGCCGGAGTCTGATTCATTCAATGAAAAAGGCCTCGGGCCTGTTCCATCTCATTGGAATGGTGTTTGTGAATCCGGGGACAATTTCAATGCTACAATACATTGCAATAAAAAAATCATCGGAGCCCGTTGGTTTATCAATGGACTTCTTGCCGAGTATGCAAAGCCATTGGACAAAGAATTCCATTCTCCTAGAGATGCACATGGACATGGTACTCATACTTCAAGCACTGCAGCTGGTTCTTTTGTGGCTAATATCAGCTACAAGGGCCTTGGTCTTGGTACAATTAGAGGCGGTGCTCCAAAGGCTCGGTTGGCCATTTACAAGGTTTGTTGGAATGTGCTTGGAGGCAAATGCTCAACAGCTGATATGTTGAAAGCTTTTGACGAAGCAATACATGATGGGGTTGATGTGTTGTCATTGTCAATTGGGCATCCTATTCCCCTCTTCTCAGATGTTGATGAGCGTGATGGCATTGCAACCGGTTCCTTTCATGCTGTGGCTAAGGGGATTACTGTTGTGTGTGGAGCTGGAAATAATGGACCTTCAGCACAAACGGTTTCGAACACAGCACCGTGGATCATAACTGTTGCAGCAAGCACCATGGATCGAGAATTTCCTACTTCTATAACTTTAGGAAATAATAAAACTTTCCTGGTATGTGTTTTTGTGATTGGGGCAATTAGCATTTTGGAGTTTGAAGCATCTCATACACGTATACTTTAATATTCTTGTAGGGTCAAGCTATGTTTACAGGGACAGAGATTGGATTTACAAGCTTGGTATACCCAGAGTCTAAAGGGCTTACCACTAGAGGGTACGTAGCATTCTTAATAACATTGTGCCAGATCTTACAGTTTGCCTAATTTACAATATATTTATTATTTGTTTTCACGAGTTGCTTGTTTTCAGTGTGTGTGAATCCCTCTCACTTAACAAAACTATAGTAGTTGGAAAGGTGGTTCTCTGCTTCACTACAATGGGTCGTCGGGCGATAACAAATGCTTCAGCAGTTGTGAAAGAAGCAGGAGGTGTTGGCCTAATCATCGCAAAGAATCCAAGTGATGCTTTATATCCATGTAATGAAGACTTTCCATGCATTGAAGTTGACTATGAGATTGGCACTCGAATTCTATTTTATATCCGGTCTACCAGGTACGTAACTTTAAATTTTATTGTAAAATGTGTGATTAGTACTGCTAGGTTTGTTTGTAATCCTCAAAATTTGTTTGGAGTGCACAGATATCCTCTTGTAAAGCTGATCCCTCCTCAAACAATTGTGGGCAAGCCACTCTCTGCCAAGGTGGCTTATTTTTCCTCTAGGGGACCAAACTCCATAACACCAGCAACTCTCAAGGTATCTACTCTAATCTAATGTACTTTTCATGTTCACATCAATTCTTGAAAATTTGTAACTCTCCGCATTACAATAACTGAAGCTTTCTTCTAGAGATCATCTCATGCATGTTTCTCCTGGAAAAGCTATCAGCAAGTTTTTGGTAGAGACAAGTCTCTGTCGTTTGAGATTCACCGTAACTGTTGAGTATCTTCTTATAACACTTTTTTTTGTTGTTGTGCCTTTGTCGGACAGCCAGATATAGCCGCGCCTGGTGTGAACATACTAGCAGCAACTTCTCCACTTTATTCATTTGTGGAGGGTGGATATGCAATGATGTCTGGAACATCAATGTCAACTCCTCATGTCACAGGCATTGTGGCTCTTATCAAGAGAATGCATCCTAATTGGTCTCCAGCAGCCATCAAATCAGCATTAGTAACAACTGGTAATCACATTATATGATATGTTCCTAATTTCAATAAGATACATGTGAAACTTAACAGTGTTATGAATTTAAATGAAGCATGGAGGAACGGCCCATCTGGTTTACCGATATTTGCAGAAGGATCGCCTCAAAAGTTGGCAAATTCATTTGACTTCGGAGGTGGTCTGGTGAATCCCAATGGCGCAGCAGAGCCTGGACTAGTATACGACATGGGTGCAGCAGACTACATGGAATATCTTTGTGCAAGGGCGTACAACAACTCTGCCATCTCTCGACTTACAGGGAAAAAGACAACATGTCCCGTGAAGAAGCCCTCTATCCTTGACGTTAACCTACCTTCCGTGACCATACCTAGTCTGAGAAATCCCGTCACAGTAAAAAGAACTGTAACAAATGTTGGAGCCCCTGAGTCCATTTACAAAGCTACCATTGAGCCTCCATTCGGTACAATTGTATATGTGAACCCTACTGCTCTGGTCTTCAATTCCACAGTTGAAAAACTCACTTTCACAATCACAATCTCCGCAATCCACGAGATGAACACTGGTTACTATTTTGGAAGCCTTACTTGGGTTGACGGAGTGCATGCCGTGAGGATTCCTTTGTCTGTGAGAACTGAGTTCTTACAACCTCATGATGATGATGATGATGAAGACTAAATTGAATACTGAAATAAATTAGTGCATTTCAGTTATGAAAAGCATTCAATCACTATAACATTATCCCTCCTGTACTAAAAATAAGATACCAATGATCCCACGCCTGAAAACGCAAGAAACAAAAATTCGGAAAAGAAGTAGTGGATTGTATGTGTTTCTTGTATCACCAGAGGGACAGAGGAGAAAGAACTTGTTGACGAATCTCAATGTCATTATTTTCGCTAGGAAATTATGGAGGAAAGCAATTTATAATTTAATTGTTTAGTTTTGCATTTGAGTTTCATTTTTATATTAGCAGGTGACAAGTTTTGAGTAGATCGTAGTTTCACACAACATGGTCACCTCTTGAAGGTCAAAGCAGGTGGTACTCGTATCACTTAATATTTCTCAATACTTGGATGATAAAATTAAAATGTGTGAATTCATAACCTTTCATTTCGCTCTGCCCTCTCCCGAGATCCTTATGTTGAGATCATATGATAACTTGTATTGAAGTCATTAACATTTGCAAAAACAGGTGTTAGTTAAACAATCAGTGACTTTGCAGCCAGGAGCACAAGTTAAACCATCGCAGTCGCGATTATGAGCACAGTCTGTCGCGTCTCCTGCATCGGCTTGGATCTCTTTTTCATTTTTATCAAGAGGAGGACAAATGGATTCAACACCTACACATTTGCCATCGTGTTTTGAATATGAACATAGACCTCCATCTTTTTTGCATTCAAAATCGTTCACACATGGAACAGAGTATCTAGTTCCATAAACCTTCCAATTTTGTGAACCTAAGAGATGCAACAAGCCAATTCGATTTCATCAGTCCTGTAGTACAAAAAAACACTGACTAGCTAAAATTGGAGAGAGAGAGAGAGAGAGAGAGAGAGTGAGTGAGTACATGTAGTAACAAAGACGACTAGCAGAACAACCATCTTGATAGTTGTCATCTTAGGATTTTTGATCACTCGAAACTACGAAGGATGTATCAGTTTGTAGTTTGTAAGTCGGTTGTATGTGATAATGAATATATAGGGTATGACCGGATTTAGGCCATAATGTTATTCCTTGGAGCAAAATTGGTAACACGGAAATTTGCAGAGTTCTTAAAAGGTTTTTCCTGTTTAAAATATAATTTCTTTCTTTAACAAGATTTTTTACATTAACCCTTTTGCCATACATTTAATTATATGGGTCAACAAATCTCCATAATCCGAAATTTAATGAAACTTTAAGGACAGCTATAGTTAATTCACTTATAATCGATGTTGTTGATATGATTCTGGCTGAGGATGATCAACAAGAAATTGTAAAGTCTTCCGACGATTTGGTTTCCGAATTTGAAATGAAAAGATTTGGGTGCCTTGAGTGTTTTTCGGGGATTGAAGTCGCGCTTTTAGACCAAGGTATATTTCTATTACCAAGGAAATATGTTCTTGATCTGTTGACAGAAATTGGTTTGCTAGATTGTAAGCCATCTGATACACTTACTGTTCAAAATCATGATCATGGAGAGTATTCAGATCAGATTAGTAGGAAGATTTATTTATCACATAGACCAGACATTGCATATGCAGTAAGTGTTGTGAGTCAATTTATGTATTATTTTAGTGAACATCACTTGAATGAAGTCTATTGGATTCTCACATATCTAAGTCTGCACCAAGAATAGGAATTACGTTTACCAAAAAGAATAGGAATTACTAGAAATATGCCCACGAGTTGCTGTGGGACTTGAATGCACCAGCCTTAACTACATGAATAAGACATATTTAACCTGGAAAAAAAAATTCAATATAATCATGAACGAACAAAAGGGATAGATGAGTGAACGATATCGGTAAGATAAACAGCTTAGCTTTTATATACATTCAACCGAGGCTGATTACAAAAGATGTGGTTGCAAAAAAATGCTCTGTTTCCCTGAGAAAAAGAAGCAACAACCCTGTATGCTTGACCAATGGTTCCATACTCGTTTTCAATCTGGTATAATTGAAACAACAATTAACCCATAGAAAGGTTCTGTTAAGTGCTTCTGGAAAAAAGGGTTTGTTGGATTGCTTTTCAGCTTGCTTGCTTTGTGGTGATATAGTGCTTGGGATTTCATGCTTGGTCCAAGAGAATGGAGAATACTGTAGATAAACAACAGTTGAAAATTAGTCGGTTCACTGCCTCAATTTAATGAAAATTCTTTGTTACAATTGATCACACCAAGAAAAAAATAAAGGAAGACTTCTAATCCCATAAATTACCAAAAATTCTACTATCCTATACTTTTGTCCTTTGTCTCCCATTGACTAAAAACACTCCCAAATCACACCAGCCAGCCATACAAAGCCATTGGTCACATCATATATTAGGTAACCAAATTCAAATAACAAAGTTTAGATAATGAAATGCAAAGAACATGATACATATAGAAAAATTCAAGAACATGATTAAGAGGATTTGAACATATCAAGTAAAATCAGATTCAGTTGAATCCTTTCTATAGCATGCTAAATAAAGACGGAAAATGATACGACAGTATAAACGTTTGAGAATGGACATAAAAGAATTTATGTTTTGAAAAGAACTTCAAAGAGGAAGAGAAAAGTTTAATTCACTCACAACATCCTCCATTGTGGTACGCCATTCTTGCATGGACGATAAACCATATCTAACATAGCCATTTTCCCAATCTTTGGAGAACTTTTCAGTTTCAGGAGTGCTCAGATTGTACTAGGCCTGACAATTCTTGACACGACCCGATAACCCGACACGACACGACACGAAATTAACAGGTGTTTGGGTCGACACGATAACGAATCGGGTGTTATCAGGTAACCCGATAAGCACCTGTTAAGATAACGGGTTGGTTCGGGTATACACGTGGGTAACACGATACACGATAAGCAGAATATTAATTTAATAATTTTATAACCCTAAAAAATACTATAATAATTATATATATATATATATATATTAAATTAACTATAATAATTATATATACTATAATAATTATACCCCCAAAATATTAACTATAATAATTATATATATATATATATATTAAGTTTTAAATTAAATTTTATACCCCTAAAAACTATAATAATTATACGTACAAAATAAATAGATTTAAATCTACATAATAAATATATATATATATACACACACACACCATTGAACTTGATGGGATACACGAAACTAATTTCAATGATCCAACCGTTAAACTCGTTTGTATATGCTTCGAGATCGCATACACCAAAAATCGCAAAAAACAAACATTCAGAGATCAAGTAACGGGACAAAACTTTTCGACGGTTTTAAAGCAAAAAATCACGATTTAACGGTTATTTTAACTCCGATTTTGATGATTTTTTACAACTACACTCATTGACCTTATATGAATACAATGAATGAATTCGATTTTCAATTTAAAATATTTACACTAGTGGATACCACAAAATCTTATGTTATACTTAATGAAAATATAAATAAACTCTAAGTGTTAGTGAATCTATCGTTTTGATGGGATACAAATTATATGAAACTAATTTTAACGATCCAACTGTCAAACTTGTTTGTATATGCTTCGAGATGGCATACGCCAAAAATCACAAAAAACAATCATTCAGAGATCAAGTAATGAGACAAAACTTTTCGACGGTTACAAAACAAAAAATCACAATTTAACGGTTATTTTAACTCCGATTTTGATGATTTTTTACAACTAAACTCCTTTACCCTATACTAATACAATGAATGAATTTGATCGTCAATTTAAAATATTTACATAAGTCGATACCACACAATCTTATGCTTTACTTAATGAAATTATAAATAAACTCTAAGTGTTAGTGAATCTATCGTTTTGATGGCATACGAATTCTGTGAAACTAATTTTAACGATCCAACTGTCAAACTTGTTTGTATATGCTTCGAGATCCCATACGCCAAAAATCACAAAAAACAAAAATTCAGAGTTCAAGTAATGAGACAAAACTTTTCGACGAATATAAAACAAAAAATCACGATTTAACGGTTATTTTAACTCCAATTTTGATGATTTTTTACAGCTACACTCGTTGACCCTATATGAATACAATGAATGAATTCGATTTTCAATTTAAAATATTTACACTAGTGGATACGACAAAATCTTATGTTATACTTAATGAAGTATAAATAAACTCTAAGTGTTAGTGAATCTATCGTTTTAATGGGAAACGAATTCTATGAAACTAATTTCAACGATCCAACCGTCAAACTTGTTTGTATATACTTCGAGATCGTATAGGCCAAAAATCACAAAAAACAAACATTGAGAGATCAAGTAATGAGATAAAACGTTTCGACGGTTATAAAACAAAAAATCACGATTTAACGGTTATTTTAACTCCAATTTTGATGATTTTTTACAACTACACTCCTTGACCCTATATGAATACAATGAATGAATTTGATTTTCAATTTAAAATATTTACACAAGTGGATACCACAAAATATTATGTTATACTTAATGAATGTATAAATAAACTCTAAGTGTTAGTGAATCTATCGTTTTGATGGGATATGAATTCTATGAAACTAATTTCAACGATCTAACCGTCAAACTTATTTGTATATGCTTCGAGATCGCATACGCCAAAAATCACAAAAAACAAACATTCAGATATCAAGTAATGAGACAAAACTTTTCGACGGTTATAAAACAAAACATCATGATTTAACAGTTATTTTAACCCCGATTTTGATGATTTTTTACAACTACACTCCTTGACCCTATATGAATACAATGAATGAATTCGATTTCCAATTTAAAATATATTACACTAGTGGATGCCACAAAATCTTATGTTATACTTAATGAAAGTATAAATAAACTCTAAGTGTTAGTGAATCTATTGTTTTGATGGGATACGAATTCTATGAAACTAATTTCAACGATCCAACCATCAAACTTGTTTGTATATGCTTCGAGATCGTATACGCCAAAAATCACAAAAAAAAAACATTCAGAGATCAAGTAATGAGACAAAACTTTTCGACGGTTATAAAACAAAAAATCACAATTTAACGGTTATTTTAACTCCGATTTTGATAATTTTTTACAACTAAACTCCTTTACCCTATACTAATACAATGAATGAATTTGATCGTCAATTTAAAATATTTACATAAGTCGATACCACACAATCCTATGTTTTACTTAATGAAAGTATAAATAAATTCTAAGTGTTTGTGAATCTATCGTTTTGATGGCATACAAATTCTATGAAACTAATTTTAACGATCAAACCGTCAAACTTGTTT